AAATGACCTATTTTGTTCCCTTGATTAATATTATATTATATTCAATGTGTGAGTATTGAATACAAAAAAACATCAATCAAAAAGACTGTGATTGAATATTTTGAATAATGATTTTTTTTACGCATTAACCTCTAGGCATACATTCCAAACATTACTGATCTAACATTTGACGTACATCTTTAACCTTGGTCTAACGTTGAACCAGAAATGAACTGCCCTTGCTTCCTACTGAGAATGAATGCATATAAGTGAACATGTAACCATGAGCATGAAAATAGATTACAATTTTTAGTTTTACTTTTCAGAGATGTAATTAAATAAGTTTTGTATGTTTCATTCTGGAAAAACTGAGTAAGAATTATTTGAATAAAATAATAAATTATCTTTATTTTATGAATAGCCAGAATGATTATTTTGCTTTAAAATAATTCAGCAAGGACTTATCAACAGATTACAAACATTAGTTTCATAAATAGAAATATTTATAGTTGAGAGGGGATTAAGATTTTATTAAAATGAAATATGATTTTGATAGTGCTTCGAGAGGTAGTATACGAATAGAGTTAGTTACGATGGCGAGGATTTCCTTTCTGAGTTTGGAAATTCAAGTTAGCTTAACTTGGCAATTTCAGTAATTAGAACACGTATATCTTTCCCTTCAATATTAATTTAACTTTCACTACTCTTTCATTTATGACTTGTATCAATTAATCTTTATTCATAGGCCAACTTAATGAAAAGTACTTAGTAATTTACAACGAACATATGAGATAATTTTTTATTCTCGTAATGCACTCATTTAAATTCCCTTTGGTCGAAAATTTAAATTTTTTACTAGATGTAAATGTGCTGCCGTTGATCAGTAGGATAATGTCCGATAGTCCTTGGTGTTCTCGATACCTCTGGAGTGACCAACAGTGTCCAACAAGAAGGGGTTAATGGAAAGAGCGTAACGGTAATGCGTTGAACCATTTTCTAGACTATACACGTTCGCTCGTATTTTTTTTATTTCTTTAGTACGTTCTGGACCATCTAACCAAGACTATAAAACGTCGACTACCTCTTTTCTTTACTTCGTTTTCTTTTACTTTGGCTCACGACAACCACTGTAACTCCTTGGCTCCCTGTCCTTACTCGTCCTTCGTTTACTCACGTCTCAAGCTACCAGCTTTAAAAGTACAAACTTATCTAGGACAAAAGGGTTGGGTGAAAAATTACTTTCAAAGGATTCTGAATTTCCCGAGCAATCTACTGAGATAGAACAATAACTAAGTCATAAAAATCTTTATGGAAAATCAAAATCAGATGTATTCTTATTTTTATTAGTGACGATATTTTTCCATTTATTTGATGTACATTTATATAGTAAGGTTAATAGTGAATGGGGTCAATATAATTGATAACTTTGGATTCAATTAATTAAATAGTTTTTTATACCAAAAAAGTGTGTAATTAAAGCTTGTAATGCTTCATTTTAAATGATGATTTTAAAAGAAAATTAATACTTTTGTAAAGCTTCAGAAAAAATTACTTTAAATGTAAGAATTCCATATTTACGTTGTAAATTTTAAACAATAATGGCAATTTTTGTTTAATCGTAATATCTATTAATTGAAAAGCAGCTTTGAATGTTTAATTCATCTTTTTTTGAGGTCATATTTAATTCAATATATCATGTTATTTTTTTAATAAATTTTTTATTTAAAACTACATTCTGAAAATATTAAAGATCGTAGTCTACTTGAGAAGAATCTTTGTGACCTTGTTTTTTCAGGATTAAAGATGTTGCTTCTTTGATATAATTTTCAATGAAAATGAAAATTTTCTAAAATTTCCATTTTTATGGTAAAAAAATACTCTTAAAATTATAACATCAATAAAACAAGAAAAAAAAAGCTCCTTCGTTGTACATTATTCTGTTAATAAATATCCGTAAATTAATTTGATAAAGATAATTAAAGTAAATGAAATTTAAAGCCAAAATTTCGTGTTACAAATTAACTTTTGATGACTCAGAGCTCCCTCCATTAGGGGTGTAAAGCTCTGACAGTGAGAAAAGAAAATTATCTTAAAAGGATTGAAAATTGCTGGAGTAACTTAAATAGATAAAATGAAAAAGATAATTTTATCAAAAAGTGTCTTGATAGATAAAAGGAAATAACCACGTTTGATAAAATTAATTTCAAAATATAAAAGTACGAATATGTTTAATTTAAAATTTCATATCTAGGAAAATTAACGAATCTTCCCCTGAGTATTTTGAATTTTTATCTCTAAATTCATAAAAGAAAATTAAAATTTTAAGCATTTGAATAAAAAAAGAAACACTAAATGCAAGTGAAATTTGTATTCCTGGTAATTTTGCGTGTAGGTATGTGCAAAGTCTCGTGTTCCACTTACTTTTGTTCCTCGTATTTATTATTAGTTACTCAAAGCTACAATCGTGAGCTTGGCTCCTTCGGGCACCTTTCCAACTATCTGTCGTCTCCATAGACGCCTTGATAGTTGCTTCTAACGGTTTCTTCTTTCATCGCTGCATTGTGCTGATATATTTGAAGCTGAGACTGTTCTCCATTACCAGCAAGTTGATTTCTCTAGAGTATTTCTCTACACGAGTAATCGCTTTGTCGTGTTTTCTATTCATTCTTTTATGTTTACTTTTTCTCCAATACTCCTAATATTCTATATCTTTACAGTACTTATATTGAGTCATCTATTGAATCCACGGAGATTTTTATAATAAAAAACATGTAGCGTGACAATGGATACATATAAAAATAAAAGACGGAAACAGACAGTACAACAATTGTATAGTTGGCTAAAAGTTTGCTACATCTTCATTCAGATCTACATTTACTACGTCAGGCAATTAAATTCTTCAGGCCAAGTCGAAAAGAAACTTGAACCGAGCATGAAGACTTGTGCTTGGTTAGCTTTCATTTGGAAGTACGCCAAGCACGGTTATTAAATGCTACCCGACCACGCGAACGCCCTGTGGTTTTCGATCTCCTTGACTCTCACTTTGCAAAAGACTCCAACTTGTAAACTCTCGACGAACCGTTTACTTTGTTTAACGTGAGCAAGTCGTTAAATAGAGAATGGAGACAACGTGAATTGCCCGAAGCATTTTTTTTCTTTTAACAAAAATTACAAAGAAAAAAGTTATAACCAGAATAATAGATGAAAATAAAGCGCATGGTTTTTGGTAGCGCTGCCAGTCAACGTGAATAATTAGTCTTTAAAAGTAGTAATGAGGCTGCAATTTTTCATTTTTAATCATTTGATTACCCTAGATTTTTTAATTTAAAGTTTATTCTCCATCTCGGAATTTTTGTTTACTTTCACTGTTTATTTAAAGTTTGTCAAGATTTGTAACATAAAAATTTAGAATTCAATTCAATTAAATTACAAAAATAATTACTAAAACCACCATTTTTTCAACAGTGATAAATATACTTTGAGAAACATTTTTGTTAAAAAATTAATTTAGGTTTATTGTAAAATAAAAACATCTCTTCAATTGTCTTTTTTTTTATTTCAAATGATGGAATGGAGTTATTAAGAATTAACCAAGTTCAACAATCATGCACTACAATAAGAACAAGCATATTACGAAATCCTTTCAAATACACGAATTAAGTCTGTGATGATAAAAATAAATATTACTTATAACGTAATGAACGGTACAATAAATTTCTCCTTTCACAATTGATATGATCATCAAGTGTATTATCCCAACTGAATAAATGGAAGATTAATTATTACGAGTATCTATCTATCTGCGAAATGAGGAATTAATGATATGGTATTACTGGTGGAACAATACAAAGGAAGAAAAATTAAATTAACAAGAAATAATTTGTCAGTTTTTTTTCAGCGTTTCTTTTACTGTTTTATTTAGTAAACATCGTAGATGATAAGTATGTACAATAAATTATTCCTATCTAGTCTAACGATATCTCTGCAGTAAATGTATGCTTTTTCAGCATCAACTTTACCCCATGGACTTGGAGGAAAGAAAAAAAATCTTTTTTTTTATCCTCTTCGCCCACTGTTTTATTTCTCTTCTTTGTCGTCATGAATTATCCATAACATTTAATTTTTGCTTTGACACGACACGAAAAAACACTCGTTGTGTAATACGATATTCATTATCGGTCACGTTACGCTGACGACTCGGTAAATATATAGAATAAAAAATTTATTCTCCTCTTTTTCCTCAAACTACTTTCCACTTCATCATTTTTATTTCCACTAACTTGATATCTTTGCATATATTCACACTCATTTCGCGTCATTCATTTTTATTTTTTATCTTTGAACAATGTTTGCATTCTATTAGTTAATTCCAGATTTTTCAAAAACACTCAATGACACTTTTTTAGTTTATTTATTTATTGTTTGCTCTTCATATCAACGATTCGAGCGTAACGTTTCCGGTACGTAAAGTTATTTTGTTTAATACAGGTACTATTTACAAGTTTTATTTTGAATAGTAACCATTTGATGTCTACTGGGTATTGTTTCTCTCAAATATTCATTTTCCATGTCCATCACAATGTATCCATAAAATACTCGTACTTTTACTTTCAAAAATGAAAGACGTTCATACATCGCTCTAGTTTTGTTACAATAAATGTCCGCTTGATTTTGATATAGAACATATTTTTAACTGAGCCTTAATATAAATGAGATCACATCGTAAACTGTTTTGTGAACCTTTCATTTAATGGAAGCTCTTAAATCATTCAGCGTGTAAAAAAAAACTAACGTTTTATGAGAAATCTTTACATTTACAGAATTTATTACAATCACAAACAAATAATGATTTTTTTCTCATTACTTAGTACTCCATAAACATGAATCATTGTCATTTTTATGAACATTTTTAATTACTAAATTAGTTTCATAATGAGTTGTCAAAGGTATCTAATTTATCGGACATGAATATTTATGTAGTAATTAAAGATGATACAATTTTTTTAATACAGTTATTTACATAAAAAATAAATATAAATATAATTAATTGATGAATTATTTGGATAAAAGTTTACTAAAAATATTATCTATGTTATATTAATTTGTTAATGTATAAAATTTGGTTGTTCATTTTTTCATGATTGTTTCTCAGTGATGTCAGAACTTGTGATTCAGCAAATATGTTTTTCTGCTTTAATTTTGATAATTTTTTATTAATTGTTTTGATGTTGAAAATTCTACATGGATTTCACATTAGAATTCACTTCGAGAGTCATTTGTATTCATACTAAATTAAATTTTTCAGTGAGTTGATCACTTTCTTCGATTAAGTGAAAAAATAACAGATAAACACTCTTTTACATAGTGTATTATTCGGTTTGAATAAAAGCTAACTTTTATTGCGATATTTATTGATACAGTGAGAAAGAAATTTATTCTCAAATTAAAAATATAGTATGTCTGTAAAGCTTTATTTATCAACAAATTCAGATTGTTATTGATACAAGAATTTAATTGTCAATTATTTCAAACTTATTAAAGAAATGATTAGAAGTGTGAATAAATTCTTATTGATTTTTTTGTACTTTCATTTAATTATTAAGGAGTTTACAAAAAATATTTCAATTTCATCCACATTTATGGTCGCAGAGGATTTAATATTAGCAACCTTATATAAAAAAAAACCAAGAATAGTTCAATCGAGAACAAGGCTTGTAGTTGAAAAATTCAATAACAACTGTTTCACACATCTTATATTTCTCATAAAAATTTTTATTAGTCCATGTTATTTCCTTTATTATGACCTAGAAGCTTCTTCATCCTCAGTTCTATAATGATCAGAATTTTTCTTCAAACATTTTTACATGAACATAGTCGTTATTCACTACTGAAACGCATCATACTTAATAATATTCACTGAAGCATATTTAATAATATATATCATTTCTAGATTTCTTAGTGAAAATTGGTCTAACATATTCAATAAAATTACTGTGCATTTCTCAACATTTAACTTTTCATCATTAAACCAATTTTTTCTTTTTTAATTTCACTCAACAGATATGCAAAATAATTTCCTCACTTTTTATGTCATATAGAGTATCTGAATTATCACACACATCAGATCTGACAACACTGTTATAAATCGTTATTTAGTCGACAATTATTCAGAAAGCTCTGTTTAAAGACACTCTTGCTGGAATATTAACACATTAATTTTGCTTGATAATATAATAATGTTGGTGCAAATTAGAAACAAGGTTAATTTCGCGCCATACCATACATTATGTGTTAGAATGTGTATAGAATGTTCCTCGGACGTTGGTCATCGTTAGGTAGTTCAACACGTGTCGGATGTGTATTAACACGCGTCAAGTCACGATCACCGCGTGCAGTGGTCAAGTATGAAGTATATCATGCACAAATACTTGTTTAAAATATCGATTAATCACATGCGCAAACGTGTGTAGCGATCAATGATTTTATAAATTCCATAAATATTATCATGGTTCACCAACCTTCTTGCTATAGTTATAATACTCAAATTCGTACGTGTGCGGGTGTCATGGAGGCCAATTAACGAGTTTGTCACGCTTAACGGGCCATCGTTATTCCGGATATAAATTGGATACAACGGTAACAACATTTCGCAATCATAATTTATCTTGTCAAAAGTTGGAGTTTACGTACGTGTGCCTCACTCACGTACTATCTACTCTATGTTGCTCATAGCTTTCAATTGAATGTTCGATAGAGATGTCCAGTAAATCTTATCGATTGTCCTGCACCAATAATAAATACATTTATCTTTCAATTTAAGCCTTTATTGTCATAAATAAACAACCAAAAAACGTATGAAAAAATTTAGTAAAATGATTTATTATTTTTTCATTTCCATTTCAAGTTTGGTGTCTTTTGATATTTCAAACACTCCAACTGGTGTATTTAATTTACATAAATAAAATCCTTTTTGTATGTGGTAATAAATTCTTTGATTACTCTTTAAAAACTTTTAATATAAATATTAAATGGCTGCTTATTATGACAAATAAATCGATAATTGACATAGTAATAAAAAAGTTGGTTAAAAAAGGTCTTTTTACTTGGCTTAAAGTTGAGATTAAATTATAGTTTGTGTTATAATTGATTTTGCACAGCACAATATGGATATTAGGGAAAGTTGATGAGATTATCCTCTCATGTCTTTCAGGAGCATGACCGTGTTTAGCGCAATAATTGATGGCATAATTAACTGGCAGTGATATAAACAAAGGATCGATAATCAGATCAGATATGAGTTATTTCGTCTGAGGCAATAGCTCGTTACTCTATCTAGAGTTTCAATCCTTAATCTGACACATTGCTATCACACTGTATGACTCTCTTTTTCTCTTTATTTTAGTGAAAAGTTGGTATATACTATCAAGTTGATAATCCAGATTAACCAAGTTTTATCCTTTTCATCGTAGATTCAACATCAGACACGTCTTTTTCTTTTCCATTTGGCTTACTTGAATCAATCAAGCAAAAGCCTCTACTGCAAGTTTTAAGATACTTTCTACTTTCAAAGAAAAAAATGGATTAAAAAGACCATTGTTGTTGTTGCTTTATTTGCTTTTTTTGATACTCTGTTCACTTTAACTTCTATTTTATACCCGGTATGGACATCAATGGTTCATAGAAATTCACTTTTTTATTTTTAATGTCATTGTTAGACCTTCAAAGTTTGTGATCTCGCAGCATTATTACTCTAATACTCTTATGCTTGTGCACAAGTTTGGCGAGCAGTAGTTTTACACCGAAGATATGTACAAAATGATGAGTGACACCATGAGGCAGCTTGAAGAAAGAATAGGACCTGCCGTTCCTGTCTGCATTGCCTCAGGACGTTCGCCTATAATGGAAACCAATAAAATGTTAGATTGGCTGATGAATTTCCCCCCTTTTTTGCTTTACTCTAAGTTCACAATTCAACTTTTTTGCTTCCTTACATCCACTGAAAGAAGCTAAATAGAGGTACAATAGTTTTGTTCAGAAAATAAAGGGAAAAAAAATTGTGAAATGTGTTGGTGAAATTGGTTTAGCAGTAAACAAGGTAGCTACATGAAGGAATAATAAAAAGAGCATGTTTGTTAGACTTGATAAAAATGCATGTATTTGTAACTTTTTTGAATGACACCGAATTGTCTCATTTTTTTATTTCAGTTTTCTTGAGTTTTTGTATGTAGAAGCAAATGTACCAATTAGCTATCTTGTCCCTATTAGTGTTTCGTCCAATTAGTGGCAGGAGAATTGGATAGGTCAATAATTGATACTAGTATAGTCAAGTCAAATTGTTTTTTATAATATTTTTAAAATTAAAAAAATATTAAAAAATAATACCAGTGCATTTAAAATATGTTTTTTACTTTCAAATTTTTTTATGTATACTACATAAAAATTACATTTTTCTTCAATAATTATTTATTAATAAAAAGTTCTCAATCTCATGATATGTAAATAACGATGGTAATTATTCATCAAGAATAAACTTTATCATACAATGAACTCTTGCTTTTAATTAGAGTAATATACTTTTATTAAATTTCGGTTGTGAATCATCAGTTCATTACGCTAATATTTCTCGATAAAATTCAATGAGGAAATGGAATGTATTCGAACACTCAGTAACTTTGAATAAGGATATTTCAGTTTCTCTGTGGCAGTTAATTTTATAATACTATTCATCGAAATTATTGCAGAATTTAAAAACAGCATTTAATATCAAAACCTACAAAAGTGGGTCTCTCTAGTTTATTATAACCTTTTATGGAATGATAATATTAATTATTTCAAATTATGCAGCAATATCGTTAACCAAAAAAAGGCTCTTACATTATAATCTCCTACTATTAAAGAGAATAAAAATTAAACATTGATATTATTTTAAACAGTTATTCTCTGTTTTCCGACCAACGAAGAAATTTTTAATGTTACAAGTAGTAAAATTGCATCTACGAGAAAAATTTCATTAGCCAATCTAATATTTATTTTTAGTCTTATTTCTACAGTAAATTTCTACAGTCTGAGAAAGAACAATTTAGAAATGTAGAATAGTCATTTTCTCATGTGAATTTCAAGGTTTGTAAATTTTTTATAAATAAATTTCTCCAAGGAAATTTCTTAAGTCCACTGAGGCACCCGAGAGACTTACATGAAACATATTTACGTCTATTGGGGTAAGGATAACTTTCATTGTTACTATTGTTGAATACCATTCGATGTATCCCGTACCAAAGCTTCATAAAAGGAATCGAAATGCAATTTCCGTTACGTCCATACCATATCTACGACTAGCACCTACTTCCTAAGTTCCGTGTCGTAAATCTAAGACTCTCCAGACTTTTTATTCCCTTTGCTTCTTTTTCTTCCTTATCTAACTTCTGCCGCAATTCGTATAGTCTAGTCGAGATCATTTTTGAGAGAATTTATATCAAAGTGGATGCTCTAGTCTCGAATAACATTCCTGTAATCGAATTGTCTGTGCTAAATACATTTTTATTTCCCAATCATCCATGCTAATATATTTTTCATTATCTTCTTTCGATTGCATTGAAATGACAGATTCAATTATTTCGAATTTATATAGAACAGTTCTTTTTTATTGAACATTTCTGTAACTGAGTAACATTTATTCTAGTTTTATCAAGTACCAAAGGGTGCCAAAATACTTAAATATTTCTTCGGTATGTTTACATAATATTTTGAGTCACAACTGCACTGCATTATACATTCTTTACTTGGAGATGGAAGTCTAGTGTGAAGTGTCGTGAAAAAAGTTAAGAAAAGTCACGCTTCATACAGCGAGCTTTATTTTAAAAAATATTGAAGTAATTTAAAATCCCAAAAAACTTACAGTGAAGTATTTTACTAGAATAAAAAAACGTCTCAAATCACAGTTTAGTTTTTTATTAAAAAAAAAATTCAGTTGAAGTTTGATAAAATAGAAATGTGAGGATGATATGTTTTTTTTTTTAAATCTCATCATAGCTGTATTAGACGAAAGTATCTTAGTATAATTTTTAACTTCCTATAAATCAAAACTTATCTTTCGTTTTTCTGTGCATTAATTAAAAATTTTCACTTTAAGATAACGTCATAAGATGATACCCCAAATATTTATCTACTATTAAACTTTATAATAAATTTTTTCGTCAAAAAACTTTGATTGTATTTCTATGTCATGAAACTAAAAGGTCTAGAGTTTTTACTTTCTTGCCTCCTTATAAAACTTTCTTCCAAGTTTCCTAGAGTCAAGAAAGTATCATTTGCAAGTAAATTTGTATACGATTATTAGAGCAAATAGTTGGGAATATTCTCAAACAATAGTAATAACAATAATAAAATCTATTTCCTCTAAAGTATTCTAGCATATGGGGGATATGAAAGACTTACCATTAACGACGTGAACGCGAATGGAAGCTGTGTTGGCATTACTAGGCTTGCAACTGTATTCTCCAGAATCAGAAGGTTGTGCAGTTTGTATAAGAAGCCATGAAGTCGTAACATCCGATCCTTTCTCTGTTATCACTGATACTCCACCTCTTGGACTATCGTAGCTCAGGACATTGCCATCGTAGTACCAGAAGATGTAGGCAGGCGGTTCTGAACTGAAGCGTATCGCGCACGTCAGGTTTATCGTACTGCCAGCACCGACATACAATTCCGGACCTCCAAGAATCGTAGCTGTGGGAACTGTACCAAATAGTCTATAAATTTCTGCCATTTTACAGTAATAAATTATTTTATCAACCATACCAAGTCGTCGAGTACTAACCAACGACATTCAGATAGAAATGATGAGACTTGAGCGGAATCGTTGATATCTGACAGTCGTAAATTCCCTGATCGCGTTCCTGAGCCCACTTTATACAAAGTGTCCACTCCGTCCATTCACTACTTGGAAGGTTATTCGGGTTGTGAAGCGCCTGAAACCGCTGATCGCTAGTGTAGGTATAAGCTCCGGTTGTCAAGATGTGGATATCTCGCAATCGAACCCACGAAACCTTTGAACAGTTGAAATATATTTTTTTTATTTCAGTATTTTTCAATAATTTAAATTACGGTTGGAATTGAGAATAAAACCCTATACGAGGAGAATTGAAGCTTGAAAATTATTACTTGCTCTGTAGAAAGCGTTATTGTACAGCGTTATAACTGCAGTGAGAGATGAAAATGAGATGAAGATCTCCGTTATAAAAATTACAAAAGTTGTAGTAAACTCTTCGCTTCAGAATCCTAGATTTTATTGGATTATATTTGACATGTGTTTTTTTTTAATTTGTATTACATTTATTTTAATTATTACTTTATATCAAGTTAATTCATCCCTGGTAGTACCATTAAAGGACAGTAATTTTTTAAAAAAAACTTTTTTTAAAAAGTTTATCATAAAATTAATCATATTTGTTGAGAATAATTCAGATATGAAACGTTGTATAAAAATCAAAGTAGATTGCTTTTCATATTTGTATGAGAGTTTTTCTTTCAGGTTGACATTTATAACATTTATTGTCGATTTTTTAATTGTTTAAGTCTGATATTTAACGTTTAACATTCATGTAGTTATTACATTCTGCAACATCTATCAACACTAACACATTTATTTTTTTTTTATTCTTCTTCAATCAGTTCTACACTAGAAACGAAGATTCGTTTAGCAATGTGCTTATATGTTCATTTTATCTGTCCAATCAGTACTTTTTACTTTCAAACTAGGAATTTTTACCGCCAATAGTCACGACAACCAATCGATGTTAGAACGGAACGATAAAAGATATGACACCACATATCACAAACTTTTGTGGCAATTATAATACCACCACTGCAAATCGTGGTATTTTAATGTGAAACATTTAAAGTGTTTTAAAATGACGCCACCCATTTGATTAACGTTGCAGTCAAATTTAATGCACTTGGACGTGTTTTAAATTAAAATACTTCCACATTTGAGATTTGTAGTGTATCAATTTGGAAAGGAACGTAATTATCATCGTTGCTATTTTTGATAAATTTTAGTACAAAATTGTATTTTAATTGGTTCCTTAAAAAAAAACTCAGGAAGAATTTCAAAAAAGTTCTGCTTTGGAACATTCCGCCAATGAAACAGAGTGGAATTTTTCTTTAAAATTCAGAAAAATCCTTCAAGAATTTTACATAAAATTTCTGTTAAAAAAAAAATTTAATTGAAGTAATTTAAAATTATTTTAATCTCTCAGTTCGTGTCTATGAGTCAGAAAAAAATTTTATCCTCATTTAATTTTATTAATGGTTTAGTCAAAAATATTTTAAAATTAATTGATCTTCAACTCGCTAGAGTATAATTAATTTTGTCAAACCAATAGAAAATAATTTACAAGCATAATTTAATGATCAAATGAGCTTACCTTAAGTGAAGTACGATCATGATTTCATTAGTGTCTGTCCGAAAAGATCATAAATAGGTAGGTGGGAAACTACCGACCTAGTTATGACCTTGCGGAAGGACATCAATGAAATTAACCATTATATGAAATCTATTACTCCAGTTGAAAGATACCAATTTATTTTTTTAAGGATTCTTCTAAATTTTCGTATTTCAATTGAATTTCTCTTCGATATTTAGTCTAATTATTCATAATACTACATTGTACTTTTACGTATTGAGAAATTTCTGCTACAGTAAAGTTTTAATTTAAGTTTTTAAGTTTGAAGATTGAATTAATTTTTAATAATTGAATCGAATTAACAATTTGTAATACAAAGATCCATGTTATATTCGTTTTCAAGCATATTTTTATGATCAAATATTTATTAAAAAATATTGTAATACTAATGGTGTGGGATCGAAAATTTGTCTGATAGACATATGCGAATGAGTGTAAAAGATTCTAAGAGAGAAAAAGGGAAAACGACTTGAATCAAAGTTTAGAAGTAATGTTTTCTTAAGAACCGAGGGAAAAAATCAGCTGTTTAGAATGAGATGAAAAAGAGCAATGACGTACGTATGATTTAGTCTAATAAAGTGGTGTGCAAGTTACATAAAAAATAAACTTTTCACCCATTTTATTGAGAGCGATATCATCTCGCGCCTACCCTCCCATCGAGGAAGGAAGGAAGGAGCGGGGGGATATTGAAAGCTATAAACGCGATTAACTCACAAATTAAGAAAGATATGGAAGAAGCTTAAACAAGAATTATTCGAAATAATATTTTATTTAGAAAAGAACTGATGGATTATTTTTGTATCTATACTAGTGAATGACTTATTTGAGTTAAGAGAAGAGGTGTGCATTAGTTTTTTTTAAATAATTGAGTTTTTTTGATTGCATTATTTTCATTATCGCATGATAGAAATGATCCCTCCTTTTCTCTTTAAATATAGAGGAATACGGGCCAAGACGGCTTTTTCGATTTTAGGTAACTCAGTGAGGCAAAACGGATCTTCCGAAGCTATTAATACGAAAGTTAATATTGATTTGAAAATATGTTTATCACTCAAATTACATTATTATGTAATATATTAGTCATTTTAAAATTCAAAAAGCCGTCCTTATATAAAATTTATCTATTTATTTATTTTTAGAATATCGTTAGATGGAAAAAAAGTTTCTAAAAATGATCCATTAATTGATGATAAGCAAAACCACATAAACTAATATAATTTTAATGGACCGATGGTGAGTTTCTGCCGTCATCTGGTACCTAGACGTGGGAATCTAGTTTGGGACTTGACCCTCGAAGAGATAAAAGCTTCCATCAAGGAAGAAAGAGAAACTGCTGACAGTACTTTTAGACAAAGTGAGAAGAGAAGTGTTCTCTTCTAACAATGTTTTGACCTTGTTTGCACACATAAAAATGTAAATAGATATTATTAATCTAAAAGACGTATTCAACTTTGATTATTAATAGTTATTTTTAAATTTGCTCATCAATATTCTTTTTTATTTCTATTATTCCGTTTTATCCGCTGGATAAAATTATATAACAATAAGTGTCCGAATATTTTTGATGGTCAATGTTAAGTAAATATTCTAAAAACATAATATTTTATTCTAAAAAAACAAATTACCAAGGTAACTTTAAATGGCTATGAAATTTTTCAAGTACATCACTATCCAGAGATATCGAAACATAGTACTCACAGGCAAATGAAGGTTTTAATCAAATTTTTTAAAGTCTTTGAAACGTTATAATGTAAGATAATTTTCTATACAAATGTTAATACTCTGAAGTAAGTAAATCTTTTAAATAATTAGTATTATATGAGACTTCGAATACATCAACCCTAGTGGTAAATTATCCTTTTGGTTTACATTAGTTAATGAAATAAGGTAGAAGCACAAGTTTAGAAAAGTTGAATCACACTCATCTTGTTAGCATATTTATTCCATCTATATGAATAAATTATGTAATTTGAAGAAAGAAATAAAACAAAACTCAAAAAACATTTCTAGTTAGGGTAAGTGTAGGTTTTCTTTCTATGGAAATGTTGCTTTTTTCCGTACAGTGCGAACATAAAAACAATTTTATAAAAGTAAAACAAAAATACATCCTCAGAAAAAGAGACTCAAATGAAAAAGTTCTTTATCTATTGTATAGTTAACTTTGTATAGCTTTCAGAAAATTGAAAACGCTGTTTTGTATGTGCAACAACGGGCATACATGGTAAAAATATAATAATATTTAGTTTATTTGATAAAGCTTGAAATTATGTGTTTGTAAAATATATACTTGTGAAACCATTTTCAAAAATCAGTAAAGAAAAATTTTATTCCTTTATGATAGAGCTTACAAAAAAACTCACTACCTGTTACATATCTTTTTACTGGTTATTTTTTATTTATTAATGATTTAATGGATATAGATTTATGATGAAGATAATAAATAGAGTTGTAGCAATTGTTTTTAGTGTGAAAAGTACACCTGAACATTACCGTTCATGACATGGTAGTTTTGGTTTATCTTATATCAACGAATCACATAGTTGATCTATTTTTACTATTTTAGATATTTTTATCATTTAATCTACGTTGTTTTATTATTCAATTTAAAACAAAATGCTTATAAAACCTATCATTATCTATCTCGGGTATTATTTTAGAATAAACAATAGATATTTGATAAATTTATTATGTCGAATTCGATTCGATAGAATTGTATATTGCGCTCATGTTAAAAATTATTCGTTGTTGTTCTGCTCCGTTGTTTGAATTTCTTGATAAATAAACGATCATATAATTTTTGGTTTAAAATATTTTTGTAATAGTGTTAGCTATAATAATAAAAAAAAAGTATCGTGCATAGTGAATAAAAATTGTGTTATTTTTTTTCTATCATAAAACACGATATTTATATATAAATAAAAATAATTTCTGTTTTCATAATTGAGCAATTTCAAGCAACGACGAAAAAATATTTATAGTATAATGTTTTTCAAATATTCAAATATCATCCTGCATTGGTTCAAACTGTAAGAATAAAAAAATTTCTTCACAATTTCTAAATTCAATCGAAGGATCAAATAAAACAATTGTGTCCTGTTCTGTGTAAAAATATACTAGCTGTAAGTTATATCAATCAATATATTGGATTGTGCTTTTTGTTTTAAAAAAAAAAAAAAAAATTTATCAATCAAAAAGCGGTAATTTTTTTCCTTTAAAAATTTTTTCATTTTAATATGTAGTAGAAAAGAGATATTTATTGCGGTGAGATTGTGGGTCTATCAATTTTTATTGCATATTCTCTGCAGAAATATAATAATAATCATTCTAAAGGTATTTTCCTATACATATTTGTATAAAAAAAAGAGAAAAAGATGGAAAAATAAACAATAAAGAAAGAAATGAACAAAATTAGTTTAAAACTTTGTAAAAACTATAGACATGTGCACGTCTAACCATCTTGTGCTAAAGTAAAAATTAATATTGCTATGGTTTTAGTTAATTTGTTATATTGGCTGAAAATACTATCGTAGATATTTCAAGACGTGCTATGGATAAATCGAATCTGCAGCATTTTCGCAACGCTTTACAATCCGATTGCGGTGCTCACGAGGTAATACGAAATGCCATGGATTATTAAAGGCAAGTGCCAAGTGTAATGCGCCGACTTCTGACGCACGTCCTCAATGTAGAAAATACTTGAGAATCTTAAGGGGTTTGTCTCGACGCAGCGGTTTGTCGATATTCGACCTCGAGAGTACTCGATATGCATCGATATTTCAAATAGTCGTTTGATAGCATCGAAGTGCCGCCGCGTCTACTAGCCAATTTATTCTGATGCACTCACACATATACTCTCACACCTTCTGCCGTCATCAGCACCAATATTATCGAATTTATATTATTCCAAGCCATTTATATTTAAAATATTTATTTCATTTCCTATGCAATCATGATTGACAATTTATTTGCCCGGTACAATGCACTTTTTAATTATTTTTAGAAAAGAAATTCTTTTTTTGTTTCAATATCGTGTTTTGTGGCACAATCATAGAGTTGTGTCAATAATTTTAATCATTCAAAGTTTGTTGAAAGCTTTTATGTTTATCCGAAAACTCTAGTAAATCAAATAACCGCTGTGATGTAAAATAATACAAGTTCATCATAGTAAGTTATTATTATGTTGATTATAGCATTATATTCTTTGTTGAACTTTCATTAACTTTTCCATAAGCTTCACTCATGTACGATACTTTCGTAAGATTTAACTCACAGCTATTGTTTTAAATTCCATTTTGATTTAGAGGTATTTCTTGGAAAGCTCCGATGTGATGTTTTATGTGTGTAATGTACTTAGCTAATTACATTGAACATGCCGAGAGACGTAAAATTTAAATATTTCAAAGAATCATGAATACGTTCCTTCGATAAGAATTTGTGTGCAATACAATTTTATAGTAATGACACTATTAACTAAAACAAAAGAAAGCTTTAGTTGTTATTATTAACTATCTACAATAGAAAGTACTTCATTGTTGACGTTCTTGCATTTAAATCCTCGAATTATGAATTTTGAATACTATTGTACATTGCATCTCAATTTAGTAGGAATCTATTTTATTTCAGGTAATTAAGTTCTTTTTTAATATAAGCACATGATGAAATTCTTCATAGAAAAAATATATATATATATTTTAGAATATTTTATTTATCTAATTGGTCGGAATAAATATTTTATTTTTAATTCCTTTCTTTTTCACATTAATCTATCTATTCTAGACAATTTTGTTTAAATATGAATAACTAAAATGATTGGAGGATAAATCATTCATAAAGTAAATTACAAATCATAAATGGAAGTTCAAATTTTTATAAATTTTCAAAAGAGGTTATTATACCCTTGGGAACTATCTCGCCTTAATTTCCCCTATGTTCGAAAATTGGTATTGATATATTGATAGAATAATATAGGATTATTAATTATTTCAACGGAGATACATCATCGAATGAGACATTTGATATATTAATAATAACGAAAGATAATATTAATGTATTAACAAAGAAGAAAAAATATTATGACATAAAAATTAATTTCAAAACAGCATTATTTGATGTCAACATACATTGTTAAAAAACCTTCAAATTCACTATTGAATTTTTTACCTAAATAAGTATTTCATGAATTTATATAATAGGTAACATTGAAATGGAAATATTTCAAACCGGGTAATTGAAATGATCTATTAATAATTATATTTAGAAGTTGGATTCAAATAAATTAATGATTATTTCAATAAAATGTCAATATTGTTAAAAAATAATTCTTCAAACATGTTTTTAATATTCATTCAATCGATTTAAGAGTTATTAAAAAACAAATGATTTTTAAACAGCAAATAAATTATAAATTAAAAAATGTTTAAAAGTATCTACTGATACAATTTTATTGAATTTGATAAGGTGAAAGTTCATTGTACTGAATATCAACGTCCAATATAAAAAAAGAATATAGTTAAAAATTAATTAATTGACTGTCAAAAAAATGGACGAACCATAAATCAAAAGTAAAGCCAACAAAAAATAAAAGAATAAAATGATGGAAAATATGAGATAATTAATAATAATTATTACAGACTCTCTCAATATATTATTAATAAAGCTCCTCACATATGTACGGTTTCTATGTGATTAGCAAAATTGTAAACACGAGAAGGGGGTAAAATTGAATTTCTCTGACATCCTGGTTTGCCGATAAACGTCCAATTGACTTGATGTAATAGTGTTATTCACTGATAATGACTTTTCACAGGGAAGTGAGTGTATTCTATGAGAATAAACTCAATTTCTAACTTGACCTTATACCCCTATGATTTTCCAGCTTAAATTAATTGCTCATTTTACACTAGTCTTTATGATGTCATTCGACTATCTAATTAATTTAGCAAAATTTAAAAATACCCAGTTTATTAGGTGTTACATGAATTTATTGATTTTGTATTGATGTATGTACCGTTTTATTGCCAAGATGTCGAACGCGGCAGGTCAAGTACGCCGTTTTCCCAATAAGGGCAGTGACGTTGGTGGGTTGAGTGAAGTCGAATGTTGGTTCAGGCTTCGTCTTGAGGCCAATCGAATGATCGATCATTTGTTGTCGTGGTCTACCCTGGCCAGGGTGACGCTCGAGCTTTTCCATAGTCCCATCGTTTAAACTCAATGTATCTATAACAATAAAAAATACTTAAAAGTGATACTTTGCAGAGACTTAATTAAAGTTTAGAGCCATCGCTGTGACTTTAAAAGCTCATCATGAGGAAACAATTCTCCGTTAGGACTTGTTGACATCCTTAGTAAGTTTTAAATTGTTGAGAGTGCCTAAATTAAAGGTCAAAATTTATTGCTTGTGAACTACATTTTCAACAACAGATTAAAAATTCATTATTTATGAAACATTATTATTTAGCAATAAAAATTAGCTTTAAAAGTGCAAGCGAAATTTTTAGCGATTAAATTTAATGATTTTAAAAAAATTTTTCACATTTACTTGATTACTAAAAAAATTATGAAACCTGAGTAGCAAGCATTTTTTACATTTTCATGATTTTTCTCTGTTGAAAAAAAAATGAGGACAAGTTATTTAACTCTTGTGAGAATGTATAAGTAGTTTAAATAGGATAAAGTCAAAATTCCAATAATATTAATTATGCCTGAGCTTTTTAATGAAAAGCTCTTTATTTGAAAAGAGGGAAAAGTTATTTACAAGCTGAATTTTGAAAAATGGTGGAAATTTTTCTCGTCAACTTTTTTATCTTAGCTATTCACCTATTGATTTGTTCATCCTAGTAATTTTTCTTGTCAATTCCAGTATAACGTTTTTTTATTTCTTCCTCCATATCTTTTTTTCCCTTTATACTTTCGATCCTTCTTAAAATTCATTCGTTTGTCTCTATCACATTCATCCATTATGATTGCAATTACTCTACATTCACATTTTTTTCACTCCCCACTTTTAAAAAAAAAAGTTCACCTTCTAAAATAGAAAAAATATACTCTATATCTCAACTATTGTAAAATAGGGGAAATCAAAGTATGGCAGTCGGAGTGATACAGGGTATGGAATATAATAAAAAAATAACCTGAAACTATAACGACAATTACAAGAATAATTTACTAAATGATCATCAAAATGGGAATGCTTCTCTAATAATTAAATATTCAATTATTCAATGTAAGAAAAAGTAGAAAACTATTATTAAAAAAACAAAAATATTTTTTCTCTATCTCTATTTTTCTATAATCTCTTCTAAATATATCCTCTTAATAGTATCTGATAAATTTCCAATTTATTCCATGTACAGTCGAACTCTTCTAATTATTAGTCCCGTAATTTTTACTTTATGTATATTAAATGTCAATACTCTATACTTTAGTCTATATGTTAACACAGGATCCCGTAATTTTTATTCTTAGAACAACTAGCCGAAGGCGTAAAAATTAGAAGAGTTCGACTGGAGTTCGATACTGGAATATTAAATAATCTAACATAGTCGAGTTAATGTGAATAATAATACTCGATAGTTAGATAAAAATAATTTGCGGGAATAATTATAAAAAGTTAGGTAATTATAATGAATAGCAATTTTGTAGGAATTATGTAGAAGAAAAAGTAGATAATAAAAGAGGAATTTAAGATCATATCATGTCTATTATATTCATCTTAAGACTCTTAATGCTATGGAAACTTAAAAATTTCATTTTTTCTAGTCATGTATATATGGTTGTATAGTAGAGTCGACGAGCTTAGTACTTGACGAGAAAGCAGAATTCTCATTAGTCACAAGAGTTACCGTTGAGAAAAGCGCTGATCCAACGAGGTCGAGTTCGCGATTCCGTTCGAGAGACTGAGTGAGATAGCATTCAGAGCTTCTAGTAGAACTCGAAGCAGTTTACGTAGAAATGGGAGAAAAGGATGGAAGATAATGAGCACACGTTATCCCTATAGAGCGATCGAAGAGATGTAAGAAATAATAATCATTTGGTAGGAGAAAAAAATTTTTTTATTAGGAAAATTCTCATATTACTCTGGCCAGTAGAATTTACATTACTATTGAATAAAGTTTCAATAAAAAAAAATGTGGTAATGAAAACTCATTGAAAAATCGGTATACGTTAATTTAGCTAGGATGGTTTTTGATGTTGCTTTCTAGTATTTTCTATGTTGTGGATCTCTGTAATAGTTGTTATACATATGAATAAATAGAGATGTGTATATGTATACACTTGACTCCTCCACTGTATCGATTGCAGAGCCCTTAATTACGTGAGTCTCATTGGAGATGTGAGAGACTAATTTGTGATGCTGTAAACCTAAATTAACATGACGATCTTGAGATTGACAGTATTGAAATGCGACATTGCTCTCTCGTCTAATTTGATTACAGTATATCATTTTTGTGATCAAGTGTCTCTGAACAACTAATTAGGTATTTGAACTTATAGAAAAAAATTTCAATGACCTAGTTAAAACATTTACAGAGACTCAGTGAATCAGAAAATCCACCTTTATATTCATATTGAGTATTTAAAAGATAAAATTATATTATGAGTAACTTGATGTGATTAAAAAATTGTATATTTTCTAAAAAAATAACATTTTGTTATAAACAAAAAAACTAACAGATGACAAAATTACGGATTTGAATTAATGAGAAGTTCGTCGTTAGGGCACTCGAGACTACATTTAAAGTACAGTTTTAACTTCAAAATCTTCAATTTCTTCGATGTTCCAAATAAAAATATTATTTTGCTCATCAATTCCATGATAACTTTTTATAACATTACTTGTATGGCATTGATACATTTTTGAAGTTCAAAATAAATTTTACAAGATCCATTTTTAACCTCAACTTTGTTAAAGCGGATGAAACAACAAAATTAAAATCGAAAGTGGGCGTAGATTATATATATGATGATATACTTGTAATTCGAATTTTAACTTCAAAGTTGTAATTAAAGACTATAAGATTAAGAAAAATATTTTTTAATCCTGTCTCGGGCACAAACTAAGCCCAGACCCATTTTTCAGTTTGTTATGGAGATTTATAATAAATTTTCGACTAATATGCATTTTCTCAAAAATTATATAAATACAGACGTCAATTCGTATGTAGTTGTTATGATATACGAACTAAGTTGCACGTGAGCTAATTATAATGATCACAGGCTCAAATTCCTCTATGGCTACATTTTAAACAACGTCTCAACATAAATCCTTAAAACATGTTGCAAAATTTTGTAACTTAAATAACAAACATCTTAAAATAATGTACTTTAGAGTGTCTTTGAAACGACTTCATTAAAAAATACGTTTAAGTGCATTGATGTAACACACTCAGAATTTTGTATACAAACAAGTAAATAAAATTATTTTATTAGTGTAGCATGATCTTTTATCATTGCAAAACTCAGGCATGATCACCTTAGAAATAGAGATGATGGGGTGGAAGAACTTTGGTATAGGGGATGGTGGGGTAAAGTGGAACACGAAAAAAAAACGTAAATCAACAAATTAACCAATATACCTTTACTCTCCTTTCCCCTACAAAGGGTTTTGGCCTAACAAGTATTGCTATGAAGGATATAAGCTGTAATAATATTGAATTTTTAGCGACTGTTATGAACGACATAATTTCTTACAAATTGAACAGTTTATTATTAATCCAATAAATGTAACCTCCATTTATTTAGAGTGTGACCAAATGTCAATATTACCATTAAAAAGTTCCGTTCCATCAACAAAACCTTTTTTATCGATACTGTAGAGCTTAATTCAATCAATGTTCGAGATAACTTTACATACTGCAGGCTATTTTGAACGACATAGAGTTTGTTTTATTGGAAGTTAGCTTTAGATGGCTCGATTTTCTCGAAATTGGCGCTAATATTATTATAAATTAATCAATTAAATTGTAATTGATAATTTAAAGTACTATGGCATAGTTAATAATATAATAAAAAATTGCATTCTCAGATGAATTTACATGCTACTTTGCAAGTTTGCTTCTTTGCATGAGTTATGATTTCAAATTTATACCATATATCGTCGGGTAACTCTGAAATAGATGTCTTAATTTATAAAAATCCAACTTTTGTTGCTGTGTTAACACTTCTATTTCTGTTCTGAGTAAGTAGAACTGCTCGCAGTAAGCTGAGATTTAGGGGCGAACAGCGAGGGGAGAAAAGCTCGAAACATGAGAAAATTTATGATCTTTATTATATGATATTACATTTGTTTAAAGTGAAGCATTTATCTTGACATTATTATTATTTAACTTAATTTGAATTACTAAAATATGAAATTCTAATATTTCTTTTGTAAACTATAACTTCTATGAAAGCTGTTTTTTTTTGAAGCAATGCTCTTTAACAATAGATAATTTAGTTTTGTCCTCTATTTGACTGTACTTTAATAATACATAACAAATGAACGTAACTATATCTCATTTTTTCATAATTTAATTTAAATTACTACTTCAGAGTTTATAATTGCCGCATATTTCTCAATATGTCACGTGAGTTCATTGATTGCTATTCTAATTAAAGATAGAGAATTTTATTAAAAAATAATGGTGAATATCATAAAAAAGTATCGATTTATTTCACAGTATGAATAGAAACAATCTCATACAATATTTTTTTTGAAACGTTTATATAATTTTTTTTATTCGTTTTTATTAGAATCGATCTTCTATTCATGAAGAGAAAAATATATATATTTTTTTCTTTAAAAAAATATTTGCTGTAATATGATAAAATTTGAATTTCTCCGGAAAACAGTTATTGATTATTTGAACAACTTGTATAACGCCTCAGATGATCAAATCTCTTCATTAATTTTCATAACCATCACTAAAAGTTTTTCCATGTCTGTATTATGTCTCAACGTGTCTCAGGTACCTCAAGGAAATTTTTTAGATCGAATTTTTCTGAAATAATCTCAAGTATTTAAAGTAAACTTGGTAATGAGAAATAAATGATTACAATGCACGATATTGTGCACCTAATTATAGTATTTATTTGTCTTTTTCATGTCTGTTCGTGTCGTTTATTTCAATTTTTATCTATTATTCATTATTTTTATTAATCGATTTTTAAAGTGGTTTACAACTACCTACAAAAAAAACAACACAAAACTGTCAAGTTTTTATTCAAATCAATAACATGCGATCTGTATAAAAACTAATATTGATAACAAAAATTACAATTGCATTACAACCATTAGATAACTGATAAATAAAAATGATCAAAAAGTCTATAAAATTTTTTAACAAGCTTTGAAATAAATAAAATAAGAAATTAACGATCGATAATTCTCAAGTCAAATAAAATATACTTTAAAAAGGTGAAAATTTGAAGTGAATTAGTTATTTACGAAATAAATCTCTGAAGATACACTGGATTTTAACTACATCCGAACAGTGAATTCTACCTTCATATTTTTCCATGATTATTTTTATTCTATCGCTATAGTGATAGATTATAATTTTCCCATTTTTTTAATTCAATCCAGATTTGCTATGAATAACAAGCCTTCATTAGTGGTCTTCTAGACTGATTGTGAATGTTACATCCTGAATAGCTAATAGAATAAATTATCTGGTCGTACAGCACTGTATCGTAATTTTCATTGACTTATAGCCATCATTGATTGACATGTTAGTAGTCTCGTAAATGTCAACATTCATCAAGGAACAAGAAACAGTTTAGGTCAATGACAATTATTTTACAACTGAGAGACCAAAGCCGTTATATCTTGGATGCCTTTTGTAAAATCTATCTATCAGCACTCGGAAATGTGTTTCGATCTGCATACAGACGTGATCGTAAAGTCAATGTCATTGCTTGTTACAAGCATTAGAATGATCACTTACACGGTGTTTTTATTGATTGTAAAAAAGATTAAACACTGGATTATGCAAGAATGAAAGTATCATGATTGTAAAAAACTTGGCGAATAAAATCACAAAAAAAGGCTTTATAGGAAGTAGATTTCTTTGGGTAAAATCTCTACGGAGAAATAGCATTCAGTTCTCACGAATGGTGGCGCGCGTCGTTACCTTCACAGGATTTTAATATTTAGATCGTGCTGAGATTTCTTACAGAAGTTTCCGTTCTAAAGTGATCGGGAAAAAAGATACTGGACTTTTAAAAAGATAATTCGATTAACATTTACTTCTTTGCTTCTAATTTACTATTACATTTATTGCATCATTAAATTCTCTAACATTTATGCGATTAAAAAAACTGTACTTTCTAGATAGATGGAGATGCTTTCTTTCAAAGTAATTAATAGTGCTGTAATAAAATCTTCAATTTTGCTCTTTATTGACGTCTTTTTATTTCTAATTTTTTTTCAAGTTATTACTAAGCTACATTGTCTACTAAAAAATTTTATTACAAGTACTTTCTTGGATTCTTTCTCTTGAAAAATCGCGCTTAAATTATGGCTTATCTTTAGTCTATTTTGAGATAGATAGAAACGATAATGAGTCAAACTTAGGTGAAGATCGGATTACAAAGCGCCTTGTTAATAATTAATGAAAATCATTGTCGTTAATTAACTAATCAGGAAACTAGGAGCAATTGTGGGATTGATTTGATAGTAGAATGCCTTGTAATCAACTGTGTACACTTCTGTAATAAAGGAATAAATTTAATTTGTCCAATGATGTTGTAAAGTACTCAACTCATCATCTTGTATCTATTAGAACTGTTGAACTTTGAGAGCTAGCCGAGCAGAAAATTATCAGGGTTGACCTAAGAACTCCGTTAGAAATACTAGAGATTTCGAAAGCCCTATATAAGGAATTTAACTTAAAAAATTAATAAAAATTATCACAATGTCGACAGGTATGCTTATAATTCATATCTGGATATTTTCAATAAAAAATAAGATATGAAAAAACATGAAAATTAGTAACTTGAGAATTTAGTTTAATGCACTAAATAATTTTAAGAAATAACAATTACTAAGTTTAAAATACTTTTTTTAAACATAATTTTCACTTTAAGTAAAGTTATTTGTCTGTAATTTTAATTTTCCTTGAATTCACTCTAAATATGTAGTGATTTTTACCCAAATATTTTTTAAGATAAAAAGGATGAAATAGTAATCTTTATCAAGACAAAATATAGCAGAGTATGACTTAGTCTAACGAGACGATTTCTATGTGATTTTTATACAGGATGATTGTATCAAATACTATAATAATATCACGCACTCTATGAAGTCTAGTATAGTTCTAATGGTAGTTCAGCATGCTCTAACATTGTTCTGCTCGGATAATTATTATTTATGTTAAAATCTAAATTTCATAGAACCCATTCATAGTTTCCCTTTGATAGTCTCTTTATTTCTCTTTTTGAAAGGTCAATGGTTTCTATTGTTTTAATAAAAAAATTTCAAATAAATATAAATAATATTTTAAAAGTTCAATTGATTAAATAATACTGACAATTAAAATAATATTTTCATTCAAGTAATATTCTTATTTTTAAAATAATAAAAAGCTATCATGTAAAAACTTCTCTATTAGATGATTTCAATTTTTATCTACACACGTCAGAGTTGCTTTAGAAAACTATTTACTGAGTTAACAACTCAAAAAAAGACTACGCAATTTTTTGTAAAAAAAATAATAATCGATTTCCATCCATCAGAGTATACCAAATAAAATAACTTTAAAAAAATTCATTAAAAAATTTAATTGCTATAAAATATTCATGATATTTTTTTATTCATACTGAATGTAAAAATAATGCAAAATAAAGAATGATACATGCAATTCATATAAAAAATCTATTTCGATGAATATTAATGGTGGCAAAATAATTTGAAAATCCATTTGTTCGGATATCAAGTGTTGTAGAAGATTCATCGTAGCATAATATTCGTTTTAGAAATTAATAAAGTCTAATATTTTATGTGGGTACATGGCTCAATAACTACGAATGATAAAAATGCGTAAACGGGTCAAGTGTATACTTCTTTGGTCGTTGCAATTAAAAACAGCTTTTTTCGTTGTAAAATTCAATTCTCTTTAATGAGTTTTAATAAACTATAATTTTTACTATCTTAACGATCATTTCGTTATACATCTTACGATGCTTACGATTAAGTGAAAAACTTTTTTTTCATGTGTGAAATTAAAATATATAAAATTATGATTTACCTAGTTTATTTTATTCTATGAATTTTTTTACTTTCTATCTCTCATTGTTTATGACAGTCGTTGCGAATGAAATTAAAATGCATGAAAATTATCATAGTTTCTATTTAAAATATAGAGTAATATATCTAAAACCATAATAAACTAGTAAAAGCTAAAGCTCTGGTAAAATTATTTTATTATGAGAATAATTAAATGATCTATTCAAGCTATTGTTCATCCATTTTATATTGTCATAAAGTCTCATAATAGTTTATAATAAAAATTTTATTCGGAAAAAAGCATAATTGAAAAACATATATTTTTTTTTCTTCTACTGGAAAAAATCTAACAATTGTATATTTTTTTAAAGCTTACAAACATTGACACAAAACAGAAAATGAAACACTCGATATTGAATACTTCACAACGCTAGTAAATACAAAGTGCTCAATATCAAGCCTTCTACTTTGCGTAATCCACTGCTCCAATAAATACGAGAGAGGAATTACTTATTTTTTATTGAAGCACATTTTCTTCTGGATTTTCTACAATCAAATATATTTATACTGCTCTGAATAATTCCACAGGATCAACGAATGTTTCCGTTCTCAATTCATAGAAAAATGTTTTGAAAAATGTAATCAAGATATATCGAGAATTCAAAATGTAATCAATAGTAGACTAAACAAATTGAAGCTAAATTTTCTTTATTTCATTAAAAAAAAAAATATATCATTACAAAACATAGCAGTAATTAAATATTAAAGTATTTGTCGTACATACATATTTTAAAAGAATACTAAAGATATGATATTCGAACTATAAAAAACGTTAAAAATATAAAGAAGAAAAGAAACAGAATTTTTTAAATCAAAAAAATTGTTTGAGAAGAGAAATCCAGTTGGCTCAATGAGAGTAGTGAAATATCTTTTTGAAACCGATGAATATTCATTTATTTTAATTTTTCTCAGATAAAGAAAATATTCCTTTTGTTGAAAATTCTTTGTTAAGAAGATTATTTCTCAAAATGGATAGGAAATATTAGGTCAGAAAATCTGATCACAAGTTTTCTTCCTTCGATTTTCTCTATCCAAAGGATCATTTTTATATCAATATCCAATAATTGAAATGATCATCTACTTTCTTTCTATATTTTTCAATACCACTATGTAATAAAATTTTTTTCACCACTGACCTACCTATAATACGAGTAACTAAAAAGATCGTACTTTTTTTTGCTATTTTAATTTTTTCCTACAATTTTATTTTTTGCGAGATAAATTTAACTACATATACATCTAAAGTGCAGAGAAGTTAATTTAAAATACCTTCTGTACACATGAAGAGAATAGCGGCAATGGATAACCCCGCTTGCCATCTTAGAGCCATCTCGTTGCACTAGAATGATCTCTAGACTTGCCTTTATATTCCACCACAAGACTCAAATGACCCACATCCTTTTCATAATTTTCTTCATCTCCATGTTCTTAATAACAATAACTCCTATAACGATAAGAGTAAGTCATCCATTTAAGCACATATCTTTAAGCCACTTATTCTTCGTTAACCTTTGGTATCATACTTCAACCTCCAAGTGACAAAGTTATAAACAGCCGATGGCTACTGTCTTGTGATTTACTAAACATTTATCTTCTATGATTCGGCACCGCCCTTGATTTCACCAATATCAATGCCAACGGCGTACAAAACGTCCTATGAATAAATTATCCCAAGTGAGCTGAGACTTAACTCAGTTAGTTTCTAAGATTATAGATCACTCAAACTTGGGTTTTCATCCTTACACATCATTACATTTACATTATTGGCTCAAACTAGACAATCATCCTGCCAATCCACTTATAAACTTAAGTTTAAATAATAATGTCAGTAGCTTCACGTACGCTGTTATATCGTTACACTTGAATGGTTATTACAGAACTTTGTTACTTTTCTTTTTCAAGTAAAGACTTGTGCGCCAACTTGAAACGATTGTCACTGCACTCTATGTATATATCGTTTTGCGGCCGAGATATTTTTCTCACACGATACCAATTGGTAAAGTCCCAAAGTTTCACTCAACAAATATTCACCAAACAACACTCGCGAACCAAGTGTTTATTTTTATCACTTGGCTAAAATTTCTTCTTTTGTGTTTACATCGAATTATAAAAAATTTTTGTTTATTTTACACTTAATGAATGTCAAAAATTGTTATGATGATTTTTATTACAACTATTACTACCGTTGGAATTAATTATATAGATTTTGAACTTCGCGTGATGCGAATCATCAATTAATTTACGGCTATCTCCGATAGATAAGTATCCACTACATGTGTAATAAATGTGCAAAATCATATTTTCAGAGGTAAATATGAGAAAAATAATAATTCAAATTAAGATAAATGTTATTAACAAAAAAATAAAAAATGATATTTATTGAAAAAAAATACTAGAGTATGCGGATGAGACGAAAAAACGCTGACGAGGATTCTGTATCCACAACATGTTATATAAAACGGACACGCACGACGTCTCAACCCCGAGGCAGATTTATCCTGACTGGGGTGAATACTGTACGTAAGAGCATGCGCGTTTCCGTTCCACCCCTTTGAAGTGGTGGGAGAGTATAACGTCTACACGGTGGCTTACACAAAATCATCTGACCTACCACACAGAGACGAGTGAGAGGGCGTCGGCGTACGTGGACGTAAAATAGAAAGGGCGAAAAAGCTAGACAATTCGACATACGGGGTGGTATTCGTGAGAAGAGGTCATGCATGTACATGTATGAAAGCATGACGGGTTCTACGGCCTTACAACTCTGGCTCACGAGAATCGGAAACTGCGGTAGAACAATTGTGGTCCGGAACGGTATTAGTGCGACTGTTGATCGAATTTCCTAAATTCCTGAAACGAAATACTGAGGTGAAAAGTTCTAACTCACTCTTCCATTTTCGTTACAGAGTTAATATCATTTTCATTCATTTTTCTCATTCTTTCTATTTTTCCTTCTTTTAATTATCTAGCTATACACTAGCTATACGTCAGAATAATTAACTTTGACATCTCGGTGTTGAAAATAAATTATATTACGCTTAGACTCTTGATACAACGGCATTTCATTCATTTCACTTTCAGACACCTACTGCTACTGTACAGTACCTATCTTGATTCTTGATGAATAAACTGTTCCGAAAATGAATTTCAAATTCTGTAAAGACTATCAAGCATAGCACTGGAAAACGTAACTAGGCTATGTGCCAATGGTGATGTATACATGTATACATAAAGTGTATACGAAACACTATTTTAAATAAAATTTGTCCAGTCAACTACTACTCAAGTCACGAAACAACTGTAAATCTCGTCACCATGTCAAGACTTTAGTTTGTTTTTTTGTTTCTACTTATGGACGTGTGTGTCACGCGTCACGCGAGATCATTCTTTTGATTAAGAGATCATTTTCCTCTTAGACATTCTACACGCGTATAAAAGACGGAAAGGGGATTCAGAAACTTTCATTACATAGGTGTACTTTGTTAGACTCATAGAACAATGCTCGATCGTTAAGGATTGTTACTCATTTATTGTTTTTAGAGTCACTCTTTTTCATTTATCATAATTAAAAAGTTTAAAATGATATTTTGTATTGATATCCAAGAATAATAATATCATTAAATATGATATTAATTTGTTTTTTATTTGATTTTCAAATTAATTATTTTTTCAGTATCATTTATAATAAATATTAAATTTTCAGTGCTTTATTTATTCATTCTCAATTTTCTATAAACATAAATAACCCATAAAAATTATACATTTATTTAACAAACTCATTAAGTATTGAGGTATAAAAGATCTGTAAAGAATAATACTATATTTTGATCACAATGAGAATTGTTAATATCAAAAATTAACAATACACTAATTGAATTTTTTCTGTAATAAATTTCATTTTATGTATACAATTTATCATTTATTGGAATAAAATCTTTATTTAAACGACATAAATTAATTAATTGATGTTATATAAGTTATCTCATCATTAAAAAGAACGAATTATATAATTACCATGTATTATAATTACAGTAGATATGTAATAATAAAGCCCATAATTGGTCAACTTTGTATAAAATCGATTTGTCAATTTCTGGCAATAAAATAAAATTATATTCTTCCTATTATATAATAAACTGTTACATCATTATCAAGAAAAGACAAAAATAATTGACTATAAATATTCATAGAGAAAAATTAATCGACTTTTCATAAAGAAGGATAAAAATAATAATCCATTACTTGTCTTTCATTTACTCCCCAAAGGACAGTTATTTTCAATGGTATATTATTCAAAATATAATTCAAATTTTTCCCTGGAGGTGCTTAACATATATTTTATGCAAAATGATCTGAATTTATCTAGCATGTATTAAAAGTCCCGAATTGCTGTTATTAAGTTATTTAAGGCATTATAATTTAAGCAGATTAAAGAATATGTAATAGAAAGCTCGACTTAAATATGTATATAGATGATAGTATGAGCGTGATAACATTTTGTGGTGGGTTAGAATGGAAAAAAAATCAGAAAAAAAAGTATAGGGAATGTGAAAAAAATACAGTACCTAAAATTCAAGCGCGTGACGAGTCGCCGCGACTTCCTTGGTTATAAATAATGTTTCGCGTGACGTTCGTGCTTTTGCAGATTGAACCATTCATCAGTAATATATAAATGGCACGTAACGAAGATAGCAGTAAACGGATAGTGTATGAAAAGAATCTATCTGATGTCGATGGTCAACGAACAGCTTAAATATATCACATGTGACACGCGTACAAGTAGAGTAACTCGCACTGGTCAGACATCCATTATGACGAGATTACTTATATTCGTGTGTTAATATGAAGATTATAATCAGTTTTGTTTGGAAAGCTGTGTCAAAGAGAATAGTTCCATATGTTTATAATTGCCCATAATGACTAGAAATTTTTTAATTATCCATAAAAAAAAGAAATAAAGTACCACATTACGACATTTATTTTTCTTTAATATAATTATTACGAAAGAAAAATTTTCTTTTTGCACTCATTAGCTTAAAATTAGAAATTCATTAGTTTGATTAATTTCTCTCTTTTTGTTTTCAAATAAAAATGAAGCGTTATTGTTTAAAATCATGATGTTACATTGTTACATTAACACCATTCTTTTATTTTTAATAAAATGATGAAGCTAAGACTACAATTTTTTAACTAATATATTTAGTATAAGGTTTTCGTTAAGAGTCTGTTTCAAGTACTCTCATGTTTACTTAAGTATTGGTTTCCATTCATCTGTTGATACTTTTATTACTTTCATGATGATTGTACCAGCACATGAGTCTCTGATCGACGCATAATCAGGACAAAGAAAGAGATGTTTGGTTTTCAATCAAAGATATCTTAAAGAAAATGAGTCAGTCTTTAAAAAAGTTCCAACGAGTGCACTGTGTCGTTTTGCTGTAATTAAATACATCTCTAGTGTGGTCAATCCAAATTGGAATTAAGCCTCTGATTTTCTCTTTCATTGTTGTTTGATCAATTACAATAAGTCATATTGCTGGATTCAATCTTCAACTAAGTTGTGAGTCAAGTTCATTATTGTTTGGATCAAGCCCAGCCTTGATTCTTCTTATGTTACTAGATCAATTGCGTATAAGTCACATTCTTGAGGAAGTTAAGATGGTCTTCCACGAAATTATACACGATTTCTGCTGACTTATACCTTGATCTATATCTACAATTGATTAAAAATGAGACATATCAACTACGTAAACAGCCACATTCTCAAGTGCTGAGATTTTCTCAAATCTCAATGATTTCCAGATAGGAACATCTACTGGCTAAACTGGTTGATATGAAACATTCTAGAAGATCAAGTTTTGTTGTTGATTTTCAATTGGCAATCAAGTGAGTCTCTGATCACATGTTATTGGAAGATTCAGCATGAATCTTCACGAAGTTTATTTTACACTTCTGCTGACAGAACCACTTGATTCAATTCTAAGAAAGTTTGATTAAAAATGTTGATTCAATGTTGTGTCTAATTACGGGCATACGTTTCACTCTCTGAGAAAATACCAATTCATATTTTCTTTCAGGATTCAACAGCTTCAACCTCTTAATTATTGTTCAAACACTGGTCTGCGATCACCTCGACGTGTAACCAGCTCTCTACATTCTATGTTATTTTAGATCAGCTATTTTAATCTCAGTTATTAATGCCTAATTCAACTTTTGCTAATAAATAAGTTTAAATAATTAATTAAAATTTCTCTTATTCTTTTTTTTTTGTTTCCATTTGATTAATTAACTTTCACACGTATTAATTCTCTTTTATTCAACTACTTTTTGGTGACTGAGCTAGGTCAGCTGAGGCAGTTTTCCACGGCTTCTCGTGATCAAATTTTTTATCATGATATTGACATTATATTAATATAAATAATATTTACCTAATTTTTCAAATAAAAATATAAATATCAATGATAAAAATGTTTGTATTCCCGGGGAATGGAATTTGTTCTATAGTGCAGTAGTGTATATTACTATAAACTTTTTTCGTATTTGTTGTAGATTAAATTTTTTTGATAATGAAAAAACTATATTGTCAATAAAACATCAACTTCATATGTGAATTATGCAACTATTATAAACATTCTCTTTGAAGTTTCATTGATTAAACTTTTGTAACACAATGTGAAAATTGTTTTTTTCCCAAAAAATAAAATTCTTTTGTATCAAACATTACTAAGTCATCACTACAAATACAATTGTTTGAAAAGTGTTCAGTTTCTGAATATTTCAAATGTTCACAAGTTTAAATGTCATAAATTATTACATATTTTGTAGACGAATTTTGAACGTTTTGAAATATTTTTGAAACTTTTATAGTTTATTAATGGCTTTTAAAACTGTAAACACTAAAGTATTCAATTATCAAACACTTTAAAGGTTTTATGACGATGGTTTTAAATACATGAATATCTGTAGATTTGCAGTAATATAACTAAATAAAAGAGAATTAATACGTGTGAAAGTTAATTAATCAAATGGAAACAAAAAAAAAAGAATAAGAGAAATTTTAATTAATTATTTAAACTTATTTATTAGCAAAAGGTGAATTAGGCATTAATAACTGAGATTAAAATAGCTGATCTAAAATAACGTAGAATGTAGAGAGCTGGTTACACGTCGAGGTGATCGCAGACCAGTGTTTGAACAATAATTAAGAGGTTGAAGCTGTTGAATCCTGAAAGAAAATATGAATTGGTATTTTCTCAGAGAGTGAAACGTATGCCCGTAATTAGACACAACATTGAATCAACATTTTTAATCAAACTTTCTTAGAATTGAATCAAGTGGTTCTGTCAGCAGAAGTGTAAAATAAACTTCGTGAAGATTCATGCTGAATCTTCCAATAACATGTGATCAGAGACTCACTTGATTGCCAATTGAAAATCAACAACAAAACTTGATCTTCTAGAATGTTTCATATCAACCAGTT